ACTAGGATTCCAACCCCTTGGGTTCACTATAAAAACAGAGGCTTGCCCTCTCATTAAGGGGGCAATCTCCCACAGTCAATCTACACTACTCAAAACCATCTATTTGCTCCTAAGTTCTTGCTCCCAAGAACCCGACGCCTCCGCCGTAGTCCTAGCCTCCGACAAGACTCCTGGTAATTCTTCTTCTCCTTAATTCTTATTAAATCTTTTTCAGCCTTGCTGACTTGAGCGTCGGAGTGCCTACGGCAAACACCACCCTGGTGTTTTCCAGAAGCTTCATGCTTGCCCTTTCATGTGTGCAGGTCTAGCGGATTGTCAGTGGCCTCAATCTCACAGGATCAGACCCTATTTTCATGACGGTAGATTTTTGCATCTACAAGTTTATTGTACTTTTGTTGTACTATACATATGTGCACTGCACTTTTTTTCTTTGATTAGGTTTTGTCCCTCTAGGTTTTCCTGACAAGGTTTTTAATGAGGCAATATGAAGCACGTCCAATTTCATGTTATAGTTGTATTTCTTTACTTAGGTTTTTTCTCATTAGGTTTTCTTTTGGCTAAGGTTAAATATAATTATCTGTAAGCGGTGGATGTCTAAAGGGAGTATTGTAAAATGTGTCCATCCACCACCTTAACATGAGGCAGTGGGGCAGTCAAAAGGAGGTGGGGGGTTGTTCTTACACCACCCCCCCCCCCCCCCCCCCCCCTCTTTTTTCATTCATATATTATGCAAATATTTGAGAGGTTTTAAGTAATATCAATCAAGTCCCACAACTCTCAATTCTCTTGCTTTATTCATTTATCTTTATTTGTTAGTTTATTTCCTAATCTGAGTTCATTATTATATAACAGATTGACGTGGAAGAATAGAGAGGATTTGTGGTATTTAAAAAAAATGAGATAAGAAAAAAAGGTGTATTTACAAGTTTTTGTAATTTAATTAAGATAAAAATCATCCCATATAAATGATGACAAAGATATGTCTCATATAGTTATTTATGTAAGTAGTGGACGTAGATTGTCTTTTAAAATTACTTGTACTTATAATAGGTTTGGAAAAGTGATTTTTAGCCCCACTATTTCCTCTTTAGCCCGTCTTTAGTTTTAATTAAGGATATAATTGTAATAAAAAAATATTCTTCTTCCGTTTTTTCATTTCAAGCTTTAATATTTATAGCTCTCAAAAATTAAAACTAAATTTAAATTAATCAATTTACAATAAAGGAAGAAAACGAATCAATCAATATTATTATCTCACATATGGATTACTTTATTTGAAATCATAACCTCAAAGCTCTTACAACCAAATAATTAATTCTCCTACTTTGACAGATGAAAAATCGGGTTTCATACCCATTAAAACAAAGAGTAATACTACACCTACAATATTTTCTTACAAATTTTTCTCACAATCCTGACGTGATAGTTCGCAGTTGATCAAACCTAATTTACAGTGGGACCTAAGTGAGACTCACTATGAGCAGACCAATTACGAATTGCCACTCAGATTGTGAGAAGAGGTTGTGGGTGTAGCATTTTCCTAAAACAAACACCCAATACCATAATTCGTTATCATAACAATATGGATTAATTTGTTTCAAAATCACAACATCAAACTCTTACAATCTAGTAATCACTTCTAAATATCCCTTATAGAAGAAAAACATGGTTTCATACCTAATGAACAAAACCTAGGCATCACAAATTTTCATTGAGAATTTTTGTTATTTTATTTTTAATTAAGATTGATTTAATTTGTTTTTATTTTTTATTTTTGAGAATTATAGATGTAAAGCTTAGAAGTGAAAAAATGGAAGAAAAAAAATATATTTTATTACAATTAACTTCGCTTAACATTGAAGATTAGATGGGGGATAGAGAAAAATAATGGGCGCCAAAAATCGCCTGTCTCTAGATTGGCTATAATTTACGTCTAAGAGGAAAGGATTTAGAAGGAATAGGTATAATTGTGTACTAAATTGCAATGTTTTGAAAACCGACCTCGGGTGCCACCCAGCCAAGGGGCTGGGTTTCACGTTGACTGGTCTGGTTAAATCGGTGGTTTGCCCATGATCTAGAAAATTTGAAATCTTGCAAAATACCTCTAAAAATACAATCTGTCCCTAGAGGTTGAAATCTTGCAAACATACCCCTATGATAGCTAGGTTTTGATTTTTTTGGCTGATATCAGTGGCCAAAATTCATCCAACACCACACCTAAACATCGGCCTTTACTCACAAATCCTTCTAACCCTGGTACTTGGTAGCCTCCTATTCGTCGATCGTGACTCATTTATTGGGTTGACTTTTTCTGCCAATTATGGCGTCCAAAATTCAATCTGACACCACCCTTGAACCCACCAACCTCTACTCTCAAAACCCCTCTAATTTCACACTTGATAGCCCCTCGTTCGTTGGGGATCAAATTAGTGATTGGTGAATAGTTAAAAATAGTAAACCAGCCGGAGAGGGCATCGGTCACTGGTCTGATTTGTTTTTAGAATATTGGTAAATTGAACTAATTATGTGTATTTTAATTTAATTACCCTTCTTTTGTTTTTTAACAAAAAATGTTATTTAATGAGTAATCAGGGATTTAAGGTTTATTATATATTTTGGGGGATTCAGATAATTAAACTTCCTGGGGTTTTTCAGCCGCCAAAGTTTAATGAGCTAGTTAAATGCTCACAGGTTGGCAAGAATTTGATGTGGCGAGTGCGACCCGGCCACGATTATGCCAACTTGTGTACATTACTTGTCGTATAACTATGGGGTTGTCATGATCCATTAATTATATGTAAAAATAAAATAAATAGATAACCAAATCATAAGAGTAATTTACACAAGTGAGACTCTCATGAAACTTTAATTATATTAATGTTATTGTTTAAGAATACATAAGAACCTCATGCTCATAGTTTATTAACAATCATGTCAATAATATTCGTAATTTCTGTTAATCTCAAAATTTACATTTTATTTTATATTTCATATATATATAGATACATTTCAATCTTTATTTTGTCACAAGGGTATTACGTCACATATATATTATAAGACATTGCATTTAATTAATGTAATTAATTTAAATATATATTACAGTGAAAAATATTTTCATCAATATAATAAAATTTATTAGAACTTTGAGTTAACTATAGGTAATATTTCAACAATAATAATTAATGACCACGCAAAGCATTGCTTTTTTTGGTTATTGCATTTTCAATTACTTTTATTATTTTATTTAAAGTCATTTTCCTTTCCAAATGTTAAAAATGCTATTTATATTCCGTGTTCTCGTTTTCAAACATATTTTCATGGAAACAATTGCCACACATATTTTCCACTTGTTTTATCCTAATACGTTTTTTTTCTTTTCCATTCTCAATGATTTTTTATTACTACTAATAATTTTCAATTTTTTTTTTTTTTTTTTGATAACCGAAAGGTGCTTGAACCAGGTTGTTACATCTCAGTAGGGGTGTTCAAAAACCGGCTAGAACCGGAACCGCGGGTACCTTGGGTTTGGTTCCGGTTCCACCCAAACCGTCGTCAATGGTAGGTTCCGGTTCCAAATTTTTGGAACCGTTATTGTGCGTTCCGGTTCCAGTTTCCTATAGTTAGGAACCGAACCGGAACCAGAACCAGGAACCGAGACTAATATACATACAATTAAAGATTAGGGGAGTTAATATAAACTTTTGTAGAAAAAGTAATGTGAATACATTTATATTTATATTTCATAACATTTAAAGTAAGTTGGTTTGACTTTTGAGAATCTACCTTTACAAAGTAATGGAGTTTGTAATTTTGAATTTATAATTTGTAATTTTATTTTTGTTAACAAGTGCCAGGTGGGGGGATATTTGTAAGTTTTTAAAGGTTTTTTTGCCATTTTAAAAACTTTTGGGGGGTCACGTAATTTTACAGGGTACCCAGAACTGGAACCGTTGTTACAGGTTCTGGTTCTGGATACCTAGGAACCGGAACCGTCGGTTCCGGTTCTGGTTCCAAATTTCAAGGAACCTTCGGTTCTGGTTCCGGTTCCTTCAAAAAGTGTAGGGTACCCGGAACCGAACACCCCTACATCTCAGTTAGTCATTCGGGTCTGAAGTTAAGGATTGGGTAAATCTCCGATGACCTCCCCTATTAACTCCTATTAGCAATCGATGGAAATTAAATTCATGACTTCTTTAGTAATATACCTAAGAGTCAGCTATTGCACCACCCAGAGGTGGTTAACAATTTTTATTTTAACCAAATATATATATATATATATATATGGATCAATACAAATTATCACAAAAAATGTTTTTGTTTCACTTAAATTAAATATAATATTTAAATCGATTGAAGTAGTTATTTTTTATTCTCATTAAGAATATATGTTTTGTACCACTTCAACTACTCATTGGCACTTCAATGATTAAAAAAACAATAATACTATATTTATAAAAAATCTTACAAAGATTTGCATATAAAGTGAGGTGGCAAAAAATAAATAAAAGAGTGAAACAAAAAGTCAAACTCATTGAACCTTTCATTTTTTACCACATCACTTTGTATGCAGATCTCTGTAAAATTTCTTTATAAGTGTAGCATTACTCTTAAAGGCTACTTTACAGTTTACAAGGACCTAAGATTATTGTCAGATTCTACTGGACCACTTTATACTTAGACCATACTCCAGGGACCAAAAGGATTAACTCTCAATATATTAGAAAAGAAAAAGATTTGTTTTTAATATAATGCTATGTTTACGTTTATTAACCGCCTTACTACTTCTGTTAAAATTACATATGATATCTATATTATGTGTATGATATTTATACTATACGTTATATTTACAAAGGATAATAAAATACTTAGTATGATTGTAAGTAAGCATAACAATATTCTTGTTTTTAATAGTTTTTAAAAGTGAGACTCCACGGCCAGGATCTCATCTTTTCACGTGCCGTACAAATACAAACTGTCCACACGCCACCACAGTAGCTCAACGCCCCACTACAAATTCAAGTCTCCAGCGTTTCATCTCTTTCTCCAGAGACTCCAGCACCAAAAAGTTACTTCGTTATCATCGCCATCTTCTTCTTCTTCTTCTTCTTCTTCATAACACAAACTCTCACGATCATTAACACAAACACTTACCATGCAGTCACTTCAATCCACATCTCTTCATGCAACGCCATTAAACCCACTTCGGAAAAACACTAACTTCAGTCTCCCCACTAATGTACGCCCCACCACCAGGAAATTCTCCTACATCACCGCCTCCGCTACCAAATCCTCGCCCAAGCGCGAGAAGGACCCCAAGAAGCGTGTGGTTATCACTGGCATGGGATTGGTCTCCGTCTTTGGGAATGAGGTCGATACTTATTATGAGAAATTGTTGGCGGGTGAAAGTGGGATTACCATGATTGACCGCTTCGATGCGAGTAAGTTTCCGACCCGGTTCGGGGGTCAGATCCGGGGGTTTAGTGGGAAGGGTTTTATTGATCCGAAGAATGATAGGAGACTCGATGATTGTTTGAGGTACTGCATTGTTGCCGGGAAGAAGGCTCTGGAAGATGCAGATCTTGGTGGTGATAACTTAACGAAGGTTAGTTGGCTTTTTTGTGCTTGGTTTTGTGATTATTTGTTGAATTATGAATATAAGAGATGTGAATTTGTTGATTTGTTGTGACAACTGATAAATAACTTTTCCATGCATTAGTTCAATTAATACAGCTTAATGTACTACCATTTGATTTAATTAATTAATCTTTGAGTTGAGTTATACTGCATATCCTGTGCATCTGTGCCTCTTTGAAAAAAAATGACACACCTTAATATATATTTTATTAAATCAATGAAGCTGATGATTGTTTCTGGGATTTGAACTTTTTGATCATGTTGTTATTTGTATGAGATTATATTGATCTTCCTATGTAATCCTTACTTGCGGACATTCACATGATTTCGGATGGACGATTGTTTTACTTTCTTTCGATTACATCATTCAGTGAAAAGTGCTTTTTTTTTTTTTTTTTGGATACATTTTACTATTTGGTATGACTGCAGTTTCTTGATTGTTTGACTCCAAGTTATTGATGACATTTTTAGGATGGTTTTTTGTCATATCTATTTCATTTCTTTGCTTTTTACGGTTTAACAATTTATTAAATAATCAAATAATCGATTTAGATATACAACTATTTTGTGGATTTGAATTCTATTATCAGATTTAAAAAAAGAAAAAAATTATATTATCACATGTACATGAATTTTGTTTTTCCAGTGGCGATACAGAATTTGAAAATAGATGATATGTGTGCTGTTCTATCACTTATGAGTTGATTGGTCCAGATTTCAGTAACTGCTTTTGGTTTATCTGGGTATTTTGTGGCTTTGGAATAGCCCATGAACTTTGTGGACTCAGTGCTGTGTTGTTTATTATTTGGTGCCAAGGTTGTTGAAACCAGTTGGTAACTTGTTCGTGCAACTCGTTTGCTTTAGAATGGTATGCATATCCTCCATTTCTCTGGGTGAAACTGGTTTTGTAGCTTATTTGACTGTTGATTAGAGTGTCCATTGCTTGGGTTCCTAGCTGTGTTTGTCTGTTGATTAAATTAAGTTTTTTTTTCTCTGAAGTAAATTTTGATCTATTCCTTTTCTTGAGTTACTTGAAATGTCTATAGCTTATCATTTGTGCTTCATTAATACTCGTTTATCTCATTTATTCCTTTCTTTTTCCCTTTCTTTCAAATGCGGAAATGGGGGAGGGGTTGCTAAGTTTATGGACTCACTATATTGTTCATTTTTATGTTTCTAGCTTGATAAGGAGCGGGCTGGGGTGCTTGTGGGAACAGGAATGGGTGGTCTTACAGCCTTTTCTGATGGTATTCAGTCTCTAATAGAGAAGGGTCACAGGAAAATAAGCCCTTTCTTCATTCCTTATTCCATAACAAACATGGGGTCTGCTTTACTTGGAATGGATATTGGTTTCATGGGTCCAAATTATTCAATTTCAACTGCTTGTGCTACCTCCAATTACTGCTTCTATGCGGCTGCTAATCACATCCGTAGAGGTGAGGCGGATTTGATGATTGCTGGTGGAACTGAAGCAGCCATGATTCCTATTGGCTTGGGAGGTTTTGTTGCATGCAGGGCATTGTCCCAGAGAAATGATGACCCACAAACAGCTTCAAGGCCATGGGACAAAGAGAGAGATGGTTTTGTTATGGGTGAAGGTGCTGGAGTATTGGTAAGCTTGCATTTCCTGATAAGCTAATGGTTGAACATGCACTTTCAAGTTTAGATTTTTGAACTTTTGGTTTTAAGATTTGGAGCAGTCATATTTTTGAACTGTTTTAATAGATGGGGTAATCACATTTTTGCCTTCCAGTTACAAAAGCTGTTTTGAGAGATAATATTTTCTTGACAGATTATGGAGAGCTTGGAACATGCAATGAAACGAGGTGCACCAATCATTGCAGAGTACTTAGGAGGTGCTGTTAACTGTGATGCTTATCATATGACTGACCCAAGATCCGATGGACTTGGAGTGTCAACATGCATTCAGAGCAGCCTTGAAGATGCTGGTGTGTCACCTGAGGAGGTACATTTTATTTGTTTTCTGTAACCAGTCCTCTTATTCTATAGTATTTTTAGCACCGTTTTGTGGTAATCAGGTTAAGATACGATTTAGTCTTAATTTTTTATTTGGAAATTTATGTGACTAAAATTAGGCATCTAGGCCAAAACTTTAAAAAAAAAAAAAAAAAAAAAAAAAAAAAATGCGATGATTTGAAAGACGGAACTACTCTTATAATGTGATGAGTTCTGTATGCATGAGGCACCCACAGTAGTTTTGGGCTTTATGGACCATGAGAGATGTTCTGTAAAATGGTTTTGTGCTTTGGTTTGTTCACACACTGATTTTTGTTAATGAAAGTCGAATTACTTTTGGTATGATCTTGACTTGTACTAATCACTCTTAAGTTAAAAATTAGTAAGTTGAACAAGTACTTGTTTTTCAGGTTAACTACATAAATGCTCATGCAACTTCCACTCCAGTTGGTGACCTGGCTGAGATAAATGCTATTAAAAAGGTATTCAAGAGCACCTCAGAGATCAAAATCAATGCCACCAAGGTATTCCTTTCTCTCTTCTCCCCCTCTGAATGAAGATGGCTAATTAGTGATGAATCTATTATAATTGCTGGCTGCTGTTTCTTCTAACTTGTTTCTATTATGTTTCAGTCTATGATTGGGCACTGCCTTGGTGCAGCTGGGGGGTTGGAAGCCATTGCCACTGTAAAGGCCATAACTACTGGATGGCTGCATCCTACCATTAATCAATTTGTAAGTGCTACTTTGTCATTTACACCCAAATTGGTTTGGCAATTTACAGTTTTCTGTCTTCTTAGCTAACAGTTATCCGAGATTATTCCTTTATATTTTGAGATTTGTTTCCATGTTATTAACTGCAAAATAAAACTCTGATGGATTTCAACTGTACAAGTTATTTTAGAGTCTAGAGATATTAAACATTTGCCCCTTGTGTAACTTACTGTCATGAATCATGATGTTTGATGTACTCTTTTATGTGAATGTAGAACCCAGAGCCTGCAGTTGAGTTCGATACTGTTGCCAACAAAAAAAAGCAGCATGAAGTGAATGTTGGTAAGCGTCCAGACTCTTTCAACCCTGTGTCACAATCATTTTCCATTGACGTAGCAGGTGGATTGTGGATTCCTAATTTACTCACTTTTAACTTTTATATATTCCAGGCATTTCAAATTCATTTGGATTTGGTGGGCACAACTCTGTGGTGGCGTTTTCTGCTTTCAAGCCTTGATCGTTCAAGATGATTCAGCCATTCTGCACTTGTTGTAGGATATAAATCTTACATATTGGATTTAGTAACTAATCGTACATCAAGCTGCTTTATCTTCTTTCTCCAGTTGCTGCATATTTACCTCCAGGCATTTTTAGTAGTTATTAGTGATGTAATAATATTTGAGTTGAACTCTAGTTTTAAGAATTGTGAACTATATTTTCATTTTTAAAAGCAGTGGGATATAGTGGGGTTATTGGGGCATGAAGTTTTGTCGGCTTTGAAGTAATGTTGTTGATAGAGGAAGGAAACTGCCGCAAGGCCTTTAATTTAACACCAGTCTTGTACTTGTGGTAACGAAGGCTTCTAAGGTCTCTTTGTTTGAATGAATCGATTTCTTATAATGCCATTTTAACCAATGTTTTAAAACCCGCCCAGCCTAGCCGTTTCAACTGGGACATGAGGCTTTCATTGGGTCGGATTATAAAATCTCCTATTCATTGAAAACTCTAGAAATTAGGGCAACGATCTACGAGCAATTGAAGATTGGGATGTTAAGGGTTTTTAAGAAGAAGGGTTGGTGAACATTGTTTTAAAACCCGAATCGGAGGGCAATCCGTTTTGCTGTCCGGGTCACGGGTCAACCGGTCCAATCGGTTGGACCGATAACGTCAGTGATAATTTTATTTTACAAAAAATTACATATTAATCCCTCAGATTTTAATATATTACAAAAAATTCCCTTAAAAAAGTTCAAATTAGTCCCTAAAATTTTTATTTATTTCAAAAATGCCCCAAAAAATTACATTAATCCCAAAACTTTTGACATATCTCTAAAACATCTCTATAAAATTACAAAGTAACCCTTATAATTTTAAAATATTACAAAAAGCCCATTAAGACCTAAACCAAACCGGAGAAGCTGTCGGGTCTCAGTTGGACTGGTTAGTCCGATTTTTAAAACAAAGCTGGTGAGTGGAATGGTAGCGACGGCGGTGATTTTCGACAATGTTTTAAAACCCGGCCTATTCAACAGGGATCCGACCACTCAGCCGGGCCAAATTAGCATAAAACTCGGATAATTGAATTCACCCAGTATGACCCATGGTTGGATCGGAGATATCATAGCAATCTGCCGGTCCAACTGGTTTTGGGAAAAAACCGGGTCAACTCTACCCCCCTCCTAAATGTAATTTTTTTTAACATTTTTCCTCAATTTTTCATTCTTTCAAGCGCTAACCCATATTTGCCCTCTTCCATTAGTCTATTTCTTAATTTCTTCATCGATTTTTTCGTTTCATCTCTTAATTTTTCCATTTCCACTTCAGTGGGCAGCTTTGTTTCATCTTCGTTATCTTCATTTCATCTCATCTTCGACAGCAATTACTTTCAGGAATGATTCTCTCTCCCATAGAAGATGATTGTTCAAGTCAAACAAACAACACACGTCAAAATAAAAAACACAAGAACAAGAAAAAGAAAAAGAGCAAATACCCAGATAAGAAAGCATGAAAAATGAGAAGAAAAAGACTTACTTGGGCGATGTAGAGAGAGAGGAGGGAAGGGGGGGAGGTAGATGCAAAGTGGAGGGAGGTGGAAATGCCGTTATTGTGAGAGTCTTGTCATCTCTCTCTCTTTGTTTCTTGGAGTGTTGTGGAAGTGTGTAGAGAAAGCTTAGGATTTTTTTTCTTTGTGATTTTTCAGGAAATTTTTTTTTTGGGTGCCATGCTGACATGTGGAAGTGTGTAGAGAAAGCTAGCCTTTTTTTTGTCTTTGAGACATTTTTTTTTTTGGGTGTCGTCATGCTGAAGTCAACATGATGACATCATCGATTGAACCAACTGGTTAAAGTGGTCGACCTGATCACTTTGTTTCACGCCAGGTAGATTTTTAAAACATTGATTTCTGGTGAGTGAATGATCGGAAATCGCAAAACCATGTTGTTGGAAAAAACTTGCTGTTGTCGGCAATTGGTGAGGTAAACAAAGAGGTGAGATGTGTTTTGGTTAAGAAGCTAAGGGGAGTGTTTTTGTGGTGATAGGGAGTGTTGTTGTCGTCGAAAACATGCCCTATTTGCCGACGCTGAAGGTGGTGTTTGGGATGTTTTTGCAAGATTTCAAACCTATAGGGATTTATAATCATTTTTAGGGATATTTTTGTTAGATTTCAAACATTTGAACACTGGTTTGACCCGTTGGTTAAAGTACCGGTCAACCTGGGATTCGGCCACTTTGCCAGGTTTCACTACTTTTGGTTTTTAAAACACTGATTTTAACATTAAATTGTCATTTTCTCTATCTTTTTTTTTTTTAATTGTATTCAGAAAAAAAGAAATATAAATTCATTTACAAATTTGGTTATAAAATTATTTAAAAATGTTTTCCCATGTTTATTTTTATGGAAAATATTATGTTCTATATATGAAAGACATTATAAATTAAATATCAAAATATTTTGAATGTAGTATTTTCTGTTTATAAATTATAACTGTTAATTCCAATTTCCAAGTACACAAATTGAATAGAATGACAGAAAAGTCCCCAAACAGACTATTATATTACAACTGACTATCCTCGATTTCCCGCCAAGAGAGAGCCAATCTTTGGTCGTTTCCCGCCAAATCACAAAGCTAATGGCTAAGGTGAAAAAGCAAAAGACACGTTAGCCCTCTTCTTTCTGACAACTTCATTCTTTCTTCTCTCTGATCTGAGAGTCTCCGACGGAACCAGGAAACCCTACCCATCAAACGATATGGATGTCAATCAACAAGAATTTCAGGAACGCAAGCGAGAATTTTACGATTTCTTGGAGCTAAGTGTACGTCTCCATTTCTTTTACTCTCTCTCTCTCTCTCTCTCTGTGTGTTTTTTTTTAATCGATTATGTATTTATGCGAATAAATTTTGTATTTGATTAGATTTACCAAGATGAGTTGAAGGCTATGATCAACCACAAACGCCGCCGCCTCATCGTCAACATCTCCGATCTCTACACTTTCCGTGAAGATTTGCCTCCCAGGTTTTTACTTTTTGCTTACAGGTTTGAGAAGCCAATCAGTGTTTATTTAATAACTGTTATTTTAATGATTTATTGTTTTTGTTTTGTTCTTTTGTTGCAATTAGGCTTCTAAGGAATCCGGGTGAGTACTTGCAACCATTCTGTGACGCAGCCACAGAATGGGCACGCAATATTGAACCCAAGTACCTCAAGGAAGGGGAACGAGTTCTTGTGGGCTTTGAAGGCCCTTTTGTCTCGCGTCGTGTCACTCCGAGAGAACTTCTCTCTCAATTCATCGGCTCCATGGTTTGCGTCGTCGGCATTGTCACTAAATGTATAATTCAATTTTTTAACCTTGCTATCTTTTATTGCTTGATAGTTATAATCAATTGGTATCAACCCTTGTTCAATTGTCTTGTTTGTTTTATCTAGTTTGTGATGCTAGTATAATCCCAGTAATGTGAAAGCTAAAATGAACGCTGGAAAGCTGTGTTAGGTTTTGAAGTTGGTTTTAATTTCGTTAAGTGTGTTTTCCCAACTCCGGTGATTTAAACTTATTTAGTATGATCAATGAGACTAATGATGTGAATGTATTCTCAAGATAGAATATGTGTGCATCCACTTTTACAAAATTCATATACTTACCAGCAGGTTGATACATTTTTTCTTTTCCTATTCCTTTTCTTCTTCTTGTATGTTTTATCTTATAACTTCGTGAAAGTGTATCCTTGTCTATGATTTCAATGTATATAGATCTAACCAGGCGGTCATCTCATTTTTAGGTTCTCTTGTACGGCCAAAAGTTGTTAAAAGTGTTCATTTCTGTCCTACAACCGGGAACTTCACTACTCGTGAATACCGAGATATTACATCAAATATGGGTGTGCCAACTGGCACCGTATATCCCACAAGGGTAATCCTTAATCTCAAGTCTTATGTTTTGTATATGCGATCTGTAGTTGTCTATGGCTCTCTCAAGGAAAATACTGTTTTCAGGATGATAATGGAAACTTATTGGTGACTGAGTATGGTTTGTGCAAATACAAAGATCATCAAACCTTATCGATACAAGAAGTGCCTGAAAATGCTGCTCCTGGTCAGCTTCCACGAACAGTAGATGTCATAGTTGAGGATGACCTTGTTGATTCATGCAAACCTGGAGATCGTGTTGCCATTGTAGGGATATATAAAGCTCTTCCTGGAAAAAGCAAGGGTAGTGTGAACGGAGTATTCAGGTAGCTCCACTCTCATTATACGCCTTGTTTTCTTGTCCTTCTACATAATAAGATGTTGCTGGCTTCTGAGTATGATTAAGTTGATTTCCTTATGCAGGACTGTTCTCATTGCTAACAATGTTTCTCTACTTAACAAAGAAGCAAATGCACCTATCTACACTCCAGAAGACTTAAAAAACATAAAAAAGATAGCTGAGAGAGATGATACATTTGATCTACTTGGTAATTCACTTACACCTTCTATATATGGGCATTCGTGGATAAAAAAAGCTGTGGTTTTATTGATGCTTGGTGGAGTGGAGAAGAATTTAAAGAATGGTACACATCTACGAGGGTGAGTCACATTTCAATTCTGTTATGTCTTAATATACTTGATTGGCACTGTACAAGATAGTCCTGTATTCCAACCATATGTGTTATCTACAAACCAGACTGTTTCATGATTTAGCCAGGAGTATAGCTTAATGCCTATTTTCTTTTAGGGACATTAACATGATGATGGTTGGTGATCCATCTGTTGCCAAGTCCCAACTTCTGAGAGCAATTATGAATATTGCTCCCTTGGCCATATCAACTACTGGACGGGGTTCATCTGGGGTGGGGCTGACAGCTGCTGTTACTTCAGATCAAGAAACAGGTATAGCACCTTAATTGCCTCTAAGCAATTTAGTTGTATATGTTACCTTTCAGGAAAATAATAGTCTTGTGTCCAGGTGAAAGAAGACTTGAAGCTGGTGCCATGGTTCTTGGAGACAGAGGTGTTGTCTGCATTGATGAGTTTGACAAGATGAATGATGTAGACCGTGTTGCTATACATGAGGTTATGGAGCAGCAGACTGTGACTATAGCTAAAGCTGGTATCCATGCATCTCTGAATGCTCGTTGCAGTGTGGTGGCTGCTGCTAATCCTATATATGGAACTGTGAGTGGTACTTTTATTGCTTATTTTTAGTGAAGTGTTATACCAAGAACAGATACCTTGTTCCATTTGATGCTTTAATTGCTTGACTTGATTTTGTGCTGGTTGTTGGTGCGATATACAGTATGACCGTTCATTGACTCCTACAAAGAACATTGGGCTTCCAGATTCTTTGCTTTCTCGTTTTGATTTACTCTTCATTGTATTGGATCAAATGGACCCTGATATTGACCGTAAAATCTCCGATCATGTCTTGCGGATGCACCGTTTTCGGTCTGTAATTGATGGAGGTAACTCTGCAGTTCTCTTAAGATCTAAGGGTCTGTAGGCTCTGTAGTATTTTTGGAAATGCTAGCTAATGCAACCTAATAATACAGGAGAAGCAGGACTAGAAGGGAATTCAAGATATGGAAGGGAAGATGAAGCTGATACTGACCAATCTGTCTTTGTCAAGTATAACAGAATGCTTCATGGGAAGAAAACACAAAGGGGTCAGAAGCGGGATACACTCACCATCAAGTTTCTTAAGAAGTATATTCATTATGCAAAGCATAGGATTCAGCCTGAGCTAACTGATGAGGTTGTGACACTTTATGTATTTATCATGTTTTTTGGTTGGCTGCCTTTTTTCTCGTCTCATTTAAATTGCTTTTTTTGTGAAATCTTCTTCCATCAATTTAAGATGACCAATACATCTTTTTTTTTGGGCTTTCCATAGTAGTCCATGAGCTGTCTTTGAACCGACCTTAGCGTAATCTGATTGTCCACCGCTTATTCTTTTACTTGTTTATCCACAGGCATCTGAACACATTGCAACAGCATATGCAGAGCTGAGGAATGGGGGTTCAAATGCAAAGGTTGATTTAGTTCTGTGACTAGATAGCAAACTATCTTAGACATTATTACAATGTAACTCTTTTAATCATTTGATATGTTGGCTGTTTTTTTCAGACTGGAGGAACTCTTCCTATTACAGCGAGAACCTTAGAAACCATAATACGTCTCTCAACTGCCCATGCTAAATTGAAGTTGAGCAGGAAGGTACTTAATTTTTGTCACTCTTTATTATTCTTTCTCATTGATGTGCTGATATAATGGGATTTGTTCACTTTTGTTTCTTGGCAGAGGACACTTCTTTGTTACCTCTGTACATAACTGTTGTTATTAAGCATGGTTTTCTTTTATCCATTTCTTGGCAGGTTTCAAAGTCTGATGTTGAAGCCGCCTTAAAAGTTCTAAATTTTGCAATATATCACAAAGAATTGACTGAGATGGAGGAGCGTGAACAAGAACGGCAGAGAGAATCGGACGAAAATCAAAGAGCAGAGCATCGCCACAGAGGAAATGACAGACAAAACAATGGTCCCACTCATAATGAACGGTAAGCTCAATAACCCTTGTTCTTTTTCGGATAATTTCAGATACATAACAGGAGCATCACCATTTTGATCTTTGTATTTACATTCATTTAGATTGAAAGCTTTGCTTATAATAGGGCCTATCACAGGCTGTATCGTGCCACTTCACATGATTGCTAACTATAAGGATATATTTAGATGAGAAAATACAAAATCATGCAGTCTAACTTATGCCCAGGGTTAGTATGTAATAGGGGCCTTCGCCTGGAATGGTAGTATTCTTGGGCTGCTTGATTTATGTATAGAAGTTGAGTATTTGGAAGTGGCAAAAACTGCTGAAGGCTAGGGCAAATATTGATCTCCTTTACTTGGTCATGCGTTGGGATATGCTGGCTAATGCCTTTAGTATCTAAGTGTTGCATGTTTCTTGATAATTAAGGTTTATTTGTGTGTATTTTTCTTTAAATCCTTTTATTGTAGCCTTGGTATCTGGGCCAACTTTTGTCATTATTTGTCTTGTTTCCGTTTCTTGTTTTATTAGTTCAACAATGGATGCCATGGACATAGATGAACCTCCTTCAGGCGATTCGGCTCTCAATATCTCACCTCAAAGGTCTGTGTGCTAGCAGGAACTATTATCTTATCTATTTACCCCAATTTATCATTTGATTCTGAAGTTAGCTATGTTATTGTTTTAAATTTTTTCTCTTCCTCTCTTGCAGAACTGAAGCATTTAACTCCATATTTGGTCAACATATGAGAACAAACCGCTTGGATTTGATAACCATTTCAGAACTAGAGGGAATTGTGAACGGTAGATCAGATGCTCGTTATTCAAGTGCAGAGATAACATTCCTATTGGAGGTGAAGTTGATTTTATTGCATTATTTTAATGATAACAGTGCTTTAGGAACATGAATAACGGTTTATTTTGTTTCTCTTTCTGAGGGTTAACTTTTGGAGATGAATATTCCTAAAGTACCATTAATTTGTTTGCGAATGTTGACTTGCCTTAGGGAAGGCTAAATATTAATTGTAATCTTTGTAATTGTTCAGAAACTGCAAGATGACAATAGAGTGATGATAGCCGATGGAATGGTGCATATGATATCATGATGTGAAAGAAGAGCAACTCCAATAGAAAAATATAAGGTTTGTAGTCTTAAAATTGGTGTCGCTTGGATGGATCTGTGCATGCTCTTGTTAATCGATTTTCTCTGTATATCAAAAGTTTCTTTGATAACTAATTGTTTTCCCACAATTTGGGGATATTTAGAAAGTAATGGTCATTCGGTAGTTGAGGCATTGTATTAATCTGGCTAATCTACTTGAATACTTGTTCATGTTGACAGAGTAATGAATCTCAGGTGCATGGAATGGAATCTGCCAGCAGAGCTCATCTTTGGAGCCGTATATGTCTATGGCAGGATGGAATAGAGAATTACAGTGGTTTAATAGTTGGAGAATTTAGAGATATTACCAGGCAGAAGATCTATATATTTTCTATTTAATATCTTGTAATAATTTTTTTTTTTTTTTGTTGTAACTCTATTAGCAGATGAATGAAAGATGAAAATATTGATCTATAAGTATAACCATTGTTTCAGTTGTTTTTTTTTCTTTATTGCCTCTTCTTCTGCTTGTGTATTCAGACTGTTGGACACAATTTGCAAAGTGCTGTTCTTATGCATGTGCTTTTATTGAGCAAATAGGCATTTGGCTATGTACATTGTTGTAAATTGCTTAAAAGGCTTCCTGTTCTGTAGAGTTTGCTGAGCAGTATTGTATAGCTGTTGATCTATTGACCCAGATATAAAGGGAAATATATCTCCTCATGTATTTGAGATTATAGGAAGTTTTCAATGCATTTCTGAGAGAAGAGAGGTGGGTTTGATTTTAATAGATCTTAAGATTGAGTAACTCATTGGAAAGGAAGTAAATAGAAAAAAAAGAAAAAGAAAAAGAAATTTCATTGAGGAAGAAAACAAAGAAAGATCGCATACTAAGTGAAGCAACGTGGCAGTGTCATAGTCACAGCTTTGTGATCAGGGAAGTCGGCTGAGCAGTCAAGGGATTTTATGGCCACTCCTCTCATTCTTAGAAACTCTCCCACTTTCTGGACTCTGCACCACTCTTCCCGTTACCGTTACCACAGCCATTCCCCTCTCTCCAAACCCACCCCTCTTTCATTCGGTTCCATTAAGGTAACTCTCTAATTTTTTTTATTTTTTATTATTATTATTATTTTCGTTCTCTGCTGAGTGTTTAGTTGCCAATAAATGAAAATGATGACCACTAAAGAGAATTTGTACTGTCTAGATGGAAGCTAGTGAAATAACTGAAGAGAAATTAAATGTGAAGAGGAAGAAGATATTTGTGGCCGGAGCAACGGGAAGTACTGGCAAAAGAATTGTTGAACAACTTCTAGCAAAAGGTTTTGATGTCAAGGCTGGTGTTCGTGACTTAGACAAGGCTAAAACTACTCTTTCCAAGGACAACCCAGTTCTTCAAATTGTTAGTTCTTTCAGTTGAAACTGAATTTCAATTTGGGCTTTTGTTAGTTTTTGTGAAATTTTATGATTATGTTTTATTTTGTAGGTGAAAGCAGATGTGACCGAGGGGTCTGCCAAACTTGCAAAAGCAATAGGTGATGATTCTGAAGCTGTTATTTGTGCTACAGGGTTTCAGCCTGGTTGGGATTTGTTTGCTCCTTGGAAGGTAACTAGGTTTTGTAGCAGTTTAGTAGATTTTATATGCTTGTTCTTATCTATTGCATTATGTTTATTAAGGCACAGATTAGGTTCTAGAAACTGTTTTTTTCAAAGAGTCATTTGGATTTTTCATAAGTATCTAGCTATTGGCTACTGATACCACCTACTGGAGTTGGTGCTGAGAGAATTGAGAAATTTTTTAATAAATTTTATTTGCTCAATTGCTGTCACTTGCCTGAAAAGAGCTCAAGGTGCCAAACATGCATGAAAAGGGTAAAATTAAAACATTAAGCGAACTTCACTCAAGCAACCACTATCAAGTTTAACTTTCTTCATCTTTCATTTTTTTTTTTTTTTTTTTTTTTTTTTTTGGGAGTATCTTCATGTATTGTCTTTTCTGTTGATGTTATTATTGCAGGTTGATAATTTTGGCACAGTAAACCTTGTTGAAGCATGCCGAAAAGTTGGAGTAAACAGGTTCATACTTATTAGCTCCATTTTAGTCAATGGAGCTGCAATGGGGCAAATACTGAATCCAGCTTATATCTTTCTGAATGTCTTCGGTCTCACCTTAATAGCAAAGCTCCAGGCTGAGCAATATATAAGGAAATCTGGTATTAACTACACAATTATAAGGCCTGGTGGATTGAGAAATGAACCACCAACAGGAAATCTTGTTATGGAGCCAGAGGTAATGGCGTTAAGCCCCTTTCCACATAGAGATTTCTTTTTATGCTTACTCAAGTACACCAACAAGCTGGTTGACTCTCTCTCTTTTGCTTTTTAGGATACTCTTTCTGAAGGCACCATTTCAAGAGATAAGGTTGCAGAAGTTGCTGTTGAGGCATTAATCCATCCAGAATCACATTACAAAGTCGTGGAGATAGTCTCTCGTGCTGATGCTCCTAATCGTTCTTATGAAGATCTTTTTGGTTCTATAAAGTAACAATGACTTCATTTTCAGAATATAGTTGTGCAGGGTATTGCGAAAGTAACATTTCAGGCTTCCGTTTTTGATACAGAGCTTTGTGTTTGATATCATACATGGTTATGTTTCTGGCATTTATTCGTCTGTCTGTGTTCGTATGTGTAGAGATTCCTTTCATATAATCTAGATGTTCTGCAGAGTTCAGAATCATCATATGGTTTTAAAAAAATTATATATATAGATGCAGATATGATGTTGGGTTTATGATATGCAGTAATGAGTTTAATGGTAACTACAAGCAAATCCTTTCTGGGAAAACTACAGTTTAACTATACTCAAATGCATAGGGTAGTTAAAACTTTATTGTTAAATTTTGGTTTTGCGCTGCTCTTATAGGTAAAGGTTATGGAAAACAACATAATATCAAACTTAGATTCATGGTTCAGTTAATTGGTTAAGCTTTACTTTACTGTTCAATCTAATTTTTCTGGAAACTGAATTTGAGTAGGGTTATCTTGGAAAGTTGAAATCTAAATTATTGTAATCACGTTCTCTCTCAATAACAATGAAAAGAAGTGCTAAGATCTATGTACCTGGTTCTCTTTCTGATGTATGTTTGCAAAGAAGCTATTTGATTGCTACTAAAAGATGAAGAAAGGTAAGTTAATTGCATATATAATTATGAAAAATTCATCTCTTAAAAGAACAATAGACTTTCACATTCTCAAAAGCAGAAAGTAAACACAACCCCATATAGGCAACCAAAGAGTTTGAGCAACTCAATAAACATTCACCAAGTAACCAAAAATAACAAATAAAAAAAAAAAAAAAATTAAAAGAACCAAGCAAGAAGAGAAACTATGGCTGCCAGTAGAGCTGGAACACTCAGAGCTACTCCACTGCTTTCCATTGGTGTTGGTGCGACTGCCCCAACATCTTGAGCGTTGGCCCCAAAAGTAACAAAAGCCAGAAGAACCAAAATGTAGATGGTGAAAGTCATTCTCTTTCTGTAACCCTCCATTTCTCACCAAGTTCTTCAACTGTTAAGAACAAATGCGCAACTGACTTGGTGGAAATTTGCAGGTTATTTAGACTCTGTGAGTAAAATGGATAGTGGAAATGGTTTTATAGGGACTGTTTGTGCATATAATTAAGATTCTGCCAACTATGTTATGTTGGTTTAACCACAAACAAAATCATTTAAAGGTGGTGTGCTGTCAGTATAATTTTAATTAGTCACCCCACTAAACTCTGGACCAGCCTAGAATAAACTTTGTGTACTGGCACGTAACCATGCAAAACCCTAATTTCTAGCTAAAACCCAATATTAATTAAACTAATGGCATGTGATTATAATTTAAGTCTTGGTTTAGTTAGTGTAATCTTAGCTGGAAATAGTGCTGGCCATAATATTTCCCATGCTTGTGGTAGTGGGTGACTTGAAATAGAGACGTTGTTAACTAATATTAATTAATTTTATTAAAAGCTTGCTTTTTAAGCAATGGGAACCATGTTAGAGTATCACTTGCTGATTTTTGTATTGATATGAAGATATAATATGGGCATTATTTAATAAATGTGGCATGTGGTCAGTAGTGCATAATCATATTTTTGTATCAATTGGGCACGGAATTAATTGTGTTGGGTTGGCTCTTGGCATTTCTGCTGTAATTTAACAGCTTGCTTCCTAAGCAATCACCTAGTTCCAGCTGCTGCATTATTGCTTTTGTTATTTAGAGAACTTTAGATTACTATGATCTGTGCCAAAAACCCTGCTCAAACTTTCTTATCAATAATTTTGCCTTTTGGCGCACACGGTTTTAGTCTCTCATTTCCAAGCTGTTAATAGGGGGAAAAAGAAAAAAGGAAAAAAAAGAAAAAAAAAGAAAAGGAAGCCAAACTGGCTGTAGCGTCCATGAGGCAACCACCCACTTTCAAACATATATCTAGTTCATTAACTCTGCAAGAGATCTTCTTGATTGACATATTCAACATTTCAACCTTAATAATCTAATTCATTCCAGAAATTACTGTTCTGTACACAAGTGAAAAATGGGAGTATACAAGTCAAAGATTCAAGAGTTTGGCAAATATGAATACACTTCTGCCCCCTCAAATTAAGAAATCAGGGTGAGAAACTATATAACATTATTGATGTGGCCAATCCCACTCCAAGAAAAATGTTCTAGTTATTTCTGTTCTGTATTGGATGCAACTTTTTGTTTCTCCAGCAACTTCCGAAGATAGGCCTGCCTTAGCCTCTCACGACGAGCTTCTGCTTGCTCTTGCCTGCGCACTTTGAGCTCAGATGCCTTTTCCCTCGCATCGTTTACTTCTTCATGAACTTCCCTGAAAAGAAGGAAAAACCATAAAAATGGAATGAGTCTTGGTAGAATGACAGAGATCATAGTAAATGATATCTGTCAGCAAACAACAACCATATATTTGCAAGCACTATTCATCTTTTAATGGTCCCTTTCTTCTTTTTGGCACGAGATTAGATCCTAGTGTACATTTTGCTTGTCCCCAGCAGTTGGTCAAGTGCAATGCTTCTCCAGACAATGCAAGGCGAGATTCTGTTTCAAAAAGACTCTCCCAATTCTATCAATTTATCATCACTCTGTTTTTTCTACTTTCCCTATGTGTCTTGTTCTCCACCACATTTGTTTACTTGATAAGGCATACCTCCTCCATTCCTTCTATCATTACCAACTTTCAAACTGCAATCCCTCAGGCACTAACGAAATGCTCATCTCCTATCCTGCTGTATCTACTTACATTCCATTGTTCTTGTAAAAATCACACCTAATACATTACCTTAAAGCTCTACCATCGATATATTCTCTAGATTCTATCAGTAGATCAAGTACACTCACATTAATTGAACACTAGAATATTCTTCTTAACTATATATTAAAACAAAATTTCTAAACAATTTAACTCAAACGCAGTGAACCCATACACCACTGCAGCCGAAATCTTGCAGAAAACATTCACAGACTATTCTAAACTCACTAAAGGGTTGCTGTAAATTAAATATAAGCACCAACGGATATGTTAAACTCTCCCAGAATTCTAAATGTCAGAATCTGCACCCTAGTTAATCATAGCAATTTTGAGTCACTCCAAGTCATGTTTGCTTAATCCCATCCATCAGTTAAAAAAACACAAACATGCCAAATGGTAAATATAACACAGAAAACCTTATCCTAGCTAAATAATAACAGCAGTATACCAACACAATAACGGAAAAAAATTAAAAACTTTACCTCACAAATCGTTTATGTTCATTGTTATCCATTGTTCCAATTGTTCGTCCAGGTGCTACAAATTTCATGTCAAAGAGCATAGAAGCATCATTCTCACTTGCTTCGTCTTGTGTTGCTACGGTGACAGAAGCATCAGAAGCTTGAGGCTGCTCTGATTCCTGCTCCATTCCCTTACGAAAAAAGTCCACGCAATACTTTTCCTTATCTTCCTCATCTGACAATTCTCCCTTCACCAGTTTTTCATATAACTCGGCCTTCCTCTCCAGTGCTGCATAGCTCGCTGACCCATCCTTCACCGCTTTCAACTCAAGCTTGTCTCTTCATTTATACACAATGAAACAAACATTAGTATAATAGTATACATCCAAAGTTCTCCACCTCAGAGTTGTCTTTTTATGTGACAATGACATGTAACGATGATAAATCACTCGAATGAGAAATTAGCATTATCAAAATATCATTCATACTAGGGAAAATTCGACTAATCTAACTCTTAACAGACTGGAATGGAATGAAAAGCTAATCTTTTGATGCCTGAAATGGAAATAATCTAAACAATTCGATGAAAACCCAGAAAGAGAAAAGGAAGGTACTTGAGAGAGCGGGCTTCGACGCCGGAGTTCCTGGAAGAGAAGGAATCACGTGAGGTAATCTTCTTCTTGGCGCGGTGAAACTCGACATCAGGACCGTTCAATTCTTTGGATTTTTTGGATTCTTCCTGGGACTTGTAGAGCTGGGCCTTCAGTTCTAAAATGGAGGATGGACCCACTCCTTCGATTGAGCGTTGTTTCTTGGGCATGATTGATGATTCCGTAAGCCATCCCAGCGATTCAACCACAACCCTCTTCTGTCTCTCTTGTTCTTCCGCCATTATTAACCCTAATTTGGATTTTGAATCTTTGATTGATTCAGAGAATTGGGGATTGAAAATTTGAAATTGATTGATAAGTGCTGCTGCTAAATCTTCTTTCTCGTAATTTCCTTTCTTCTCCGCGCCGTCGTGTGTAAAACGACAATGCCGTCTGGATTGGAAAATCGAGAGTTTGGGTAAATATCATGACACTCCTAATAATAAAATTCTAGAAAGTTCAGTATCTTTGAATAATATCAGAAACACCCTTTATTCTCACGTCCGTTTATTACCGCATATTCATGACAAAATTATATATATACCTTGATTTTATTTTTTCATTTCGATAAGTTTAATAATTGTTGATGCAGAAATACACTAATTAGAGTGATCCGATCGACCTTGACAGGATCGAAACTGATGTATAAACAAAAATGAGTAAACAACAATGTGTGATTACGGGTAACAAACAATGTGTCAACGGAAAATGCAGTTAAGTAAATGAAAAAAAAGTTTTTAAAGTGATTCGGCAAGTTATACTCTTGAGCATACGTCCACTGTTCTTGTATTTGCTGTGAGAGCTTACAATAATAGTCCTAGAATAATTTGCTAACCTATTTTTCATTGTTAGAGATGATTTATATACAGATTTTGTACAAAGGAAAAAGCGAAAATAAATGGATTGGGCAAATAATTTGAATACACAACTCTGATATTCTCGCGATTGAGCGCTGTGATTGCACCAAGATTATTGTCGATCTGATCCCTTCTAAGATACCTAGGATTTGAAGTTATCTGTGAGTTGGTTGAATACTATAAGGATTGGTCGAGAATAACTTGCTAGTAGAGTTACAACTCGACAAACTATGCTGGTCAGACAACCAGTTAAGTCGAGCTAGCTTTGGATTGAGCTATAACCTCGCAATTCTCCGAACTTGATAGAAAATCACACACAACAATAATGAGTAGACAAAGATGACATGACAAATTAAAAATTAATTAATTAATTTTAATGCCATCTCACATATATGGTAGTCCCTGGATTAATGAAATTGATAGTTGAATATGAAAGAGATGCATGGAGAATCAAGCATATCATTATAACAAGTATAGTCATAGTTTAAAAAATAAATTTCAATCAAATTGAAATAAGTAAGGTAGAACTATTACCTTAAGCCCTTAGCAACCTTGGAGCCTCTTAATTTCAAGAGAAATTAAGCAAAAGAGTATCCACACAAGGGAAGAAGAATTTGACCAAGAGAAAGATTTAGGGTTCTTAGAGATTTTTTGCTCTCTTCACAAAAATTGATATATCATTTTCTTTATATAGGAATCCTGTAAACAATTCAATAATTGTTTGGACTTCCTTAAACAATTCCATAATTGTTATGAAGTTGTTAAACTTCTTTAAATTATAACATTGGATTAACATTTAATCATAATTAACAATTTAACTCTTAAATTGTTTACATAACAATTTAACCCTTAAATTGTTTACAGTTACAACCCCTTGTAAATCCAATTTAATATAAAGAAATGATTATATAATAACTTTATTACCTTTGATAGGTGCTAGCCAACCTTGGATATCAACCTCTTTGGCTATTTCTTCATTCTCCTTAGTTTTTATGTGTGACCTCAGGTTCATTGTGGCCTAGCCATGGGCCCAATACACAGTCTATTTCGATATGTTTTGTCACAACTATTTGAACAAAACTCCCACGGATTATGGTAAGCATCTAGCAATGCTCCATAACCCCTAAGTCCATGAAGGTGTACTCCAACGACCTTTTACAGTCATACACGTTGCATAATCAAATCCTTCCGTTGTCTAATCCCAATTAAGAATGGATTCATAGTATGTCAAAATCCTTATCTTAATTTTATTCAATACTATGGAACGTGTCACCATGAAACAACCTTTCATGTAACATTTTATGTACCCCGGCCGGAGATTTCCCTTTTCCAATGTATCTTGACATTTGTCTAGGAATTTGATATCAATCTATACCAAGTCAACAGATCCCATATTGATTATCACTTGTCCTCACACATAAACAACACATGGCCAAATCGGCTTATTAACACATGGCATGATTACCTCATGTTTATACACCATATGACCATATGCTTTATGCAGAATCCAACCGTGATACTCATTCTAAGGATTAATAATATCCTAGTACGATCTTATGAAAATCATTGACAGATTTTAAATGTCTATGTGATTCATCATAATGGCCATATTCGATAAACAGTTCACTAACCGCGTATCCATGCTAATGCCCTAGTGATATAACTTTTATAATCACCCACACCAATACCATCACATGATATTTACAGAGGCATTCAGCATGCCTACTATGTAATATTATTGGCCAATTAATATTACCTATGTAGGGAATACTTTGATGATTTTGATATTCTAAAGATTTGTATCATCCGGACATTTCACATGTAATACATATATATAATGGACAATAAACCACATGTGAAATAAGAACACTTTCTTCAATTGATAGATAAAATGTATATACAAACTATATACATTCACATATATATACAAAACATAATGCCTCGGAACCGATGACACGATTGGTTCCTAGGGCATACACTAACAGAATACTGAAGTCTTGCCCTTTGATTAATAAAAAATAGATGATTAAATGCTGAAGTCTAGTTTTAAGTTATTAATTTAAGGTTGGTTTTTTTTTTTTTTTTTTAATTCGGAGGTATTTGGGCCAATTTGCGTGCACTTTTTATTCTATAATTTCTAATGCCAGTAGGATTTTTTTTTTTTAATTCGGAGGTATTTGGATCAATTTGCGTGCACTTTTTATTCTATAATTTCTAATGCCAGTAGGATTAGGATCATTAAATTATAAATACCGGTCTTCTCACACAACTTCACTTTGCAATAAAATTTATTTATAATTTCAAAATATCTACTGGTTATAGGCAATTTTTGTAGTGGATTCGTGGGTTTTTCGGTATTAACATCGTCTATTGCTAATTACATAAACTCTATTTAGCCTTGATAGATTTAGGTGATTATAAAATGTCAGAATTCCTGGAAGACTTGATAGATGATGAAAGTTTGTGTTTAATCTAGTTCATTAAACATTTTGCGGAATAGGTTGATTGTGTTCATTAGTGCTTGTGGGAATAGTCATTTAACATCAATACAACATCATGCATGAACTAAAAGTAAAGAATACAAGGATTTTTACATGGTTTGGCCAACAGCTTGCCTCCATGGGACCATATCCAGTTCAAACAAATTCACTATAGTAAACACTTTCAAGTCAGTTACAGAGTTGAAGTTAAGCAAAACAATATTAAACACTCTCTGTTTTACAATACTCTTAACTCCACCCTTTGATTATAGCTCCAACAGTCTGCTACAATTTGCTTGAGTCCAAGAAACCACTTGGACAGCTCAAGCCCCACTCAAGCTTCAATGGCCAAAATCAACTTTTAGCTCCACAGCTTGAACTACCATCAAACATTTAACAAAGGAACCATATTCTACCAAAAACACTCAAACAAGATATGAGAAATTTAAGGAGCAAAAAACAGAAGGAACCCGACCAAAATGAATAAACTCTTTAAGGAATTTCAAAGAACAAGCAATGGAATATTTAGGTTAAAAGAAAACGCGAGGATGAAGAAGATATTATATAATCCTTGCTCAACAAACCCTTAGTACACACAGCCTGACAAAGGCTTACACATGTTGGGCTATTTTAGGAAAGTTCTCAACAACATTGTTGGATCACATTTGAAAAAGATACAACAGCTTTCGTGGATCACTTCTGAAATGTTAGACATCTGTATATGGACCTTTCACGTAGATTTCAGAACTGGAAAATATCCTAACAAACAATGAAAACATGAAACCTGTATTAAAAGATCTGACTAGAAAAATGTTTATACAACTAACTCAAATGTGCACACATGTTTGCAATAAGTTCAGACTAAAGAAATGTGTACACATTTATGCAATATGTTACAACATGTGTAAACTACGGACACGATTGTGTTTAAGCAAATAAATGTACAAACATCATAAATGAATATCCACATACATCTTCATAAGTTGACTCATGATAAAAATACTTACTGAAGAAATACTTTTGAAAGTACCCATATAGTCTCTTCTTCAATTAGATGCTTATCAAAGTCACATCGTGCTTTGATCGACGACAAATATTTCATTAAAAGGCATCTTCAACAATCCATTGATGTCGACACCAACCTTCATATCATTCTCACTAGCGATATCTATTAAGTAGTAAGTGTGGATGATCAAGAGTTCAATTCTAGTAGTCAACAAATAACATGACTCAACAAGCCTTTCCCAAGTGTCATGAAAATATTGGGTTCCTGTAATGGGCTACTTTGTATTCCGATCAACAATAGCAAATTTGGTGAAGCTGTATGAAATCCATTTTCGAGAAGGTATAGGAAGTTACCTATAGCCCCTAATAATCCAGGATTTATTCACAACATTCAGAAAAACATCATTAAAAATCATAAGGGTATTCAATTACATTGGTTTACTAGCTATGGATTTGGTTATGATTATTTAAATGATGGTTACAAGGTTGTGAGAATCCTTCAATGTATTGACAATGTGCGTAGATTATCACGACAATGAAGTTTAGGTTTGTAGTGTGAGATTGAATTTATGGAGAATAGCTAAAGATTTCCCTTACAGTCAATATTTTCGGGGAAGAATGGAAAGTTGAATGGTAAATGGCATAATACATTGGTTTAACGTTTTGATAAGAACTTAAAAATACGCGTTTAGTTAGTGATTTATTTAGAGTATTTGTGTGAAAGTGAATTTAAGTTGCAAAATTTGAGTTTATTTCATAAATACTTTTTATGGGATCATAGGTATACTTTGAGTATTTTCAGGTCATAAATGATATTTGAATGAAAAAGAATAATGTCGATGAAATTTGTAACGAGTAGGAATGAACGATGCAAGAATCGGAGTTGAAACGAGGAAGTTGTGTTGCTTTGAAGATTATACTCAAATATTGGAATTTCTTCAAGATGAACGTGCTTCAGTGTTTTGACCATAACTTGAATTATAAAAATCAAAATTGAATGATTCTTGTAGCGTTGGAAAACTTATTCAGAGGGCTATAAAGTTTGTGTTGA